AACTATAACAAATTAAGTCTGCAACAGAGCTGCAGCCATAGGCAATTGTAGGACACCCCCTTCCTGATCACAAAAAGGCTTCTCAATACTATGGAAACCCTGCTTGTAATAAAACCGTCTCATTTATTTCCCACAGGCTCACTGGAGCTGCCCATTGTGAAGGGACTCTGGTCCCAGCAGTTAAAATCTTGGGTGGTGTGTGTGTGACTCCTTTAATGGTGTGAGAATGCTCAGGCAGTGGCTTCTCCTTTAACACAGACTATCTTAGTTTAGCAAGACAGAAATGTTTGCTAAGGAGGGTGGGTTAGGAAAAAACAAAGGAAAAGGAAACAAACCCCTCCCGCCAAGTTATTATAACTTTGGAATTAAGAGGCTTCACATGAAAGGTGTGGAAAAGGAAAATAACAGCTCTTTATTAACATATATATATATAACAAACCCAAATAAGCAACAGTGCTGCAGCTAAAACTTTCAAAAACAAAGTCCTACTTCCCCAGGTGGGGGCCACTGTGACAATCAGGGGGCTGAGAGTGGGCTTTTCCCAGAGGGTCAACAACTGCTCACAACCACATGAGCAATGGTGGCTCCACGGTCAACAATGAAGGGTTTTTTCCTGCTGGTCCCAGGGCTATGGCATGGTCCTCGGTCAGATAGTCGCTGCAGGAAGATACTCGTGACAATGCAGCACCGTGGCCTGGGACAAAATACCTCACTCACAGACGGTCGGCAAGGGGCTCTCCAGGTCCCTCCCTGATGGCAGTATCAGGCGGGGAGAAAAGCTTCTCCTTGGGGAAAAGGAGAGGGTGACCGAACAGGAGAAACCAAGGGTGGCTGCCCATTCTGTCAGGCAACAGGGCAGGAAGGCCCACAAACAAAATGCTCTGAGGTGTGGCGCTGACCAGTTTTATAGAGAAGCTTCCCCCACTCCCATGCCCCTGTGAGCGCAACCCCCCTCCTTCCCCCTTCCTGCCTCCCCCCACCCTGGAAAAAGGGATGCAGGGGGGGAAAAGAGGGGCTTTCACTGTAAGTGCACACTGCCCAGTAACTGATATTGGGAAAAAATTCCAACATCTCTTTTCAAACCTATAACACAGGCTTTATAATTTGTTTGGATCAAACTAATTTCCTTTTGACATTGGAGGATATACAATTATAAATAAGAGTGTTTATTGAGAGTAAATCAAACAGAAATATTATAAAGTATGTATGAGTGGCCAATTATTGAATTATTGAAGGGCATGTATGCTATCTTCTATATAACTTTGGGCAGTAGTATATATTACATGATAGTTGTACTTTAGGAAGCTACTAACACTTCTGAATTTATTTTTTTGTTTTGTAATGATTTTTATCTTCAGAAGTCTCAGAGCAAACAGTGCTGTGAAAAAAACACTCAGTACTCTCTCCTGTGTCTAGTCAGAACCTGTGAGTTTAAGGTGTGATGAGATCAAACAACAGGTAGGGTTTTTTATCAATCTTTCCCTTCCCTCCTTCCTGCCAGCTCTTGCAGAAAATTTCATTTATTTTCTCATTTTGTTTTCTGTTGGCTTATTGAAATGAATCTACCCATGAAAGAATGAACCGGTTCTGGTGCAAAGGAGGGAACATGACTGTGCACTCACAATTAGGGTGGTAAAAGACTAGGGGAATAAAGCCCATCCCTGTTGGTGGCAGTGAGAGAGGCTGGGCTGTCTCTGCTAATCTGACCTTCAAAATCCTTCTGGATTTTTTCAGCGGAAGTGCAGGTTTTATAGTGTAGAAATCATATGGTTTCACAAATGAGTCCACTATTTAAAAATATTTCCCAGACAGTGGTACAGTTAGATGTTAAATGGCTTCTGCATACTGGTGTGTTCTATGTGTGGCTGGAAAATAAAATAATTTCTTTTTAAAAATTCTAGCACAGAAGTTTTTACAGAATTACCTTTTCAAATCAGTACAGTATCAATGCATCAGTAAAAGCAGAATGACATTTCTAAGAAATGTCTAATTAAGTATCTGTCTGTGTCTGTAAACATCACAACTTATTTTTCAGTGCTGTGTTCTCATTTAAGTAAAAAACTGGTCTTTATCATCACCTTGAGATTACCTTTTCTAGTATGTTACTAGAAAAGTGAGTGGCAAGAAAGGAATGTGAATTTTTCAGTATACTCTTGATACCTTGGAGTTTTGATGTTTTGATTTTTTTGTTTTAATTTTTGTAGATCTTAGAAGTAGTTATGTAGTAAATGTAGATTTTAGAATAGTAACATATTATCCCTTTACCCTTTAACACACCAGCTCAAACCCCTGTTACCCATTCCCATATCAATTCCCCTAAATTCCACTGGCCTGTTTTGTCTCTTTTTCAAGGTAGAATTATAGGGAACATCTTAACCCTACGGAAGAAGATATAGCCATAGACTCAACAACCTTCAGGCCTAGAATTCTGGAAGGCCTCCAAGGACATTACGTGCTCTGAGGAAGATGAAGAAGAGGGGGTCCCAAAACACCCCCAGACCCAATTCCCAAGAGGCGTGGAGGGGGCAGAACCTGGGTGGTGGCCGGACGGGGATTGGGTGAAAATCATTATAAAAACTGTGGACATCTGTGTTCTGGGAGCTCGGGTTGGGGTATTCCAGAAAGCCTGAGGGGTCATTAAAGCCTTTGTATCCTTATCTTATCTCCTACCTAATTTGACTTGGAGTCTTTTTTTCCCCACAGCCATTTAGGCAACACTCTCTTCCTCTCTATGATTTATAAATGTCTCAAGTAGAACTAATAAGTAAATTTTTTTCTTTCTTTGAGATAAGGCTTTTCTTGGTATAGATATTTTCCTCCAAACTGTGTTGTTCCTTGCATCAAAGTCTGTTTTTCACAGTAGACTTTTTTCCACTGAGATAAAGGTAAAGTTCTATTTTATATACATACTAGTACTCGAATTATTGATCTCTAAATAGCAGTTCAAGGGACCTGAAGAGTACAAACCTCACAAGAGCAAGTATTTTTTCCACACACACAGAAACACGTCAATGTTGACCAGATAAAGTGTTGTGAAATTACTAGTCCCTGTGCTGCCATCTCACTGAAAATTGATTGCTCTATGAGGGATCAAACCAGCATAGTTTGAGTAGTTGAAGTTCCTACTTAATAATAAAAAAATCTTATAAAAACATAATTAGACTGTTAGCAAAGTGGTAATGTGTAGATGAGACATTTTTCCTGGCTGATAGGCCAGAGAGATGGAAAGGCAAGTACAGATATTCTTATAGTCCCTTTGGGAGCTGCAATGTAGATGATATTTCCAAGTAGTGATGCCCGAAAAGGCACATTGAAAACTGCTCAGAGACAGTTTTGAGTCTTTAAGCAGCAAAAGGTATTTATTTTAGGCAATGTTGGGGGCTAGCCAACTCGCACTGGACAAAACTAGCCCAAAGTTATCAGTGTAAAGTCAGGTATTTATACAGTTTTGTGAGATATTACATAATTTTTTTACATGCATATTCATATTATTGCAACATTTCATTATCATATTCATAGCAGGCGGAGCCTGGGTGGAGTCTGGGCGGAGTTGTCCTTTTGGGGTGCTGTTTCGGGGGTCGTTCCTGTTTCTTCATCCTCAGGGGTCCCATTCCAGAAGTCTTCCTTGCTTTGAACTTTTCAACTTTCTTAGTTGACTGTCTTCCTGATGGTGAATTTTGTAAGATTTTGGATTCATGCCCCTATTTTGCCACTTATTCCATAAGGAACCCTTCCTTATGTCTATTTAGGTATGTGTGTGAGCATTTTTGGTGTTCTTTATTTCCCTGTGTTCTTACTTTATGTTCTTTGTGTTAGTGTGTTAGCATTCTTTGGCCAGGTGTTATCTTCCACTAGCCTTGAATTTCGGTTCCTTTAGTTCTTTACCCAGAGCTTACATTCTGAGTTAACTCCTTCAGGGCCCTGCTCTGTTTCAGTAGGACATTTGTGAAAAAAAGAGTGTCTAGTTCACTTTGGCTGCCCTTCAGCTTCTTGTCAATCTCTGTTCTTTGCTCTCTGGGCTAAAAGTGACAATATTTCCCCTATGTCACGATTATACTGTAAGTTTTGCAAATTGCCATTAAAACTTTGTAATATAATTTATAAGGTTGAGGTCCTGTTCATCAAAAGTATATTTCTCATACATATGGAAACTGAACTATGTTGTGGTCTGTCCAGGTGGATGACTACCAAGTCTAGGAATTTCAGGCTGTTGTTGTTCATAAGGACTAAAATTCTGCATTAAAATAAATTTAAAGTTCTAGGTAAAGAAGTTCAGCATATGTTGCTTATAATATATTAAATTTTATAAAGTAAGACTTTAGAAATATTTTTATTTTCTGATCTGTTTTGATTCACCTCACTATAATAATTAAATTTAATGTGACTCCAGTACCATCTTTAATGAATGTGTAAAAGGAATAATAGTTTGGTGTAACACAATGACTTCACTAGAAAAAATAAAATGAATAAAACCCGGTACTGTACTCTCCTATGAAGACAGGTTGAGAGAGCTGGAGCTGTTCAGCCTGGAGAAGAGAAGGCCCTGGGGAGACCTTAGAGCACCCTCCAGCACCTAAAGGGACTACAAGAGAGCTGGAGAGGGACTTTTCACAAGGGCATGGAAGGATAGGAAAAGGGGGAATGGCTTCAAACTGACAGAGGGCAGGTTTAGATTAGATATTAGGAAGAAATTCTTCCCTGTGAGAGTGGTGAGGCGCTGGAACGGGTTGCCCAAGGAAGTTGCTCATGTCCCATCCCTGGCAGTGTTCAAGGTTAGGTTGGATGGTGCTTTGAGCAACCTGGTCTAGTGGAAGGTGTCCCTGCCCATGGAAGGGGGCTTGGAACAAGATGACCTTTAAGGTCCCTTCCATCCCAAAGCATTCTAGGATTCTATGAACCATACTGTCTGTAACTGAAAGCAATGAGTTGTTTAGGTAATACTGTGAAGAGCAGGACTGAGTTATTTGGGTAAATTATTCTTACTCTTCTGTTCTTGTGCAGGCTGCTGTATTGCTGAAGACCATATCTAGTTCACCCAGTCTTCCAGACCATGTGCTCCATGCTTTGAGACCAGGAGGACCTTGGTGTTTTGAAATGAAGATGGAGGCAGTGGGAAAAGCAGAACTTGTTGATTCAGAACTTCCACCAAAGACTTCTGAAAAGCAAGAGACTGCTCCTCATGAATGTGGATCTATAGAACTTGGGACACAAACTCAGAAAGACAATGTGCACATTGCAGCAGACTCTGTGGTGCTCTCTTCAATGCCTTGCTTACTTATGGAACTGAGGCGAGACTCTTCAGAGTCTCAGCTGGCATCTACAGAGAGTGATAAGCCAACGGGTGGTCGAGTTTATGACAGTGACTCTTCTAATCATTGCATGCTTTCCCCTTCTTCCAGTGGGCATTTGGCTGACTCTGATACATTGTCTTCCACAGAAGAGAATGAACCTTGTCAAGCTCAAACTGCTGTAGGGGGACACCTTTCTGCAGTGTCTGGTGCTGCAGTTGGGAGGAAATCCAGGAGATCCAGGTCTGAAAGTGAAACTTCAACAATGGCTGCCAAGAAAAACAGACAGTCTAGTGATAAACAGAATGGTCGAATTACCAAAGCAAAGGGTCATCGAAGCCAAAAGCACAAAGAAAGAATCCGGCTCTTGAGACAGAAACGGGAGGCAGCTACTCGCAAGAAGTACAACCTGCTGCAGGACAGCAGTACCAGCGATAGTGACCTGACGTGTGACTCAAGCACGGGTTCATCAGATGATGATGAAGTTTCAAGGAGCAGCAAGACAATCACTGCAGAGATACCAGGTAGAGGATGTTTTTTAAATTGAACTGTAACACATCTGACATTGTTTCTCAGCTGTCATGCTAAATTAGATGAGTGACACTTGAGAAAAAACAGGAGAACTGCAGCTCTGTGTAAATTTGAAGACTGCAGTGTATTAACAAGACATGGGTAAATTTTAAAATCTGTTCTGAGGTTTCAATTCACTTTTGCACACCAACAAAGCATAAAAATGGTAAATTGGAGGAAGGACTAGCTTTGAATCCTGGAATTTTCAGAACTTTTTCATTGTAAACCTATGTGAGATACTATCAGTGCTGTCAAATCCCATTAGATGGTGATAATCTAATAAATACATTCTTAAGATAAATGGCCAGCTTTGCTTTAATATCTTAAGACCACAGCTTTGCAGCTGTGTTAGAAATAACATGGCATACCTCTTGCCTGTGTTACAGTAAGGCCCTGTTCATTATTGCACTTATGCTGTGCTTTCAGCTCTATGTTTCAGTGCATGACAAACCTGCTTAGCCTTATTGTAAGTTTTTGCAGATTGCAGCTGGTTACATATTTTAAGATATAAATATGAATTTGTTTACACAAGTACCCAAGCTATATCCACACCTACATTTTCAACATCTTAGACAAAGCTGTTACCTTTTTGCTATGTCACAAGGATCTATAATTTCTATATTTTTAATTTTCTGACACATCTGTTTTAAGATAGGAGGCAGCAAATTATAGGGGCCTTCTCATCATTTTATTAGCAAAAGAAAGATTAATTCTTCAAGATTTTTGTCTACTGAGTCTTTGTTATTTTATTAGCCCAAGTGCTGTGGACAAGTTTTGTGTGAAGAATTATTGCAGCATATTATACCATAGAACCATCATCATATCATTATATGGCAATCAAAAATAAAATCACATAAAAATAAACTTTTTGGCTTGCAAATTTTTACTGGATTACATGCCTTTTTGCCTCTTGTGTTAGAAGTTTGGGTTTTTTTGGAGATAAATATCAGCTTCCGTAGGGCAAGAACATTGAAAGGAAAACTGCAGTAATTAGTCTTAAGTTGCCGAACTAATGTTTACTAGATGAATTTTACAAGTAACTGTTTTAACTGACTTGATTATGGTGAATGATTCTGTCACCATGAGAACTGGCATTTTTCCCACATATTGCTAGGAAGCAGGTTGCACAAAGTGCAAATGTTTATTATTAGAAAGTCTGTGAAAAGCATAGTCTCTTTTATTATTGTGTAGTAAACCTTTAACAGAGTTCTAAAAGTATTTTACCAATTTAGTAGTTAGTCAGACTTCTAACTTTCATAGTTTTGTGCCTTTTTATTTACTATATTTACACTTTGCTGGGAAATTAAAGATTAATTTAAAGCCTGTCAAAGACTATTTCATTGAGTTTTGGGATAGGTTTCTCCCCACCTCCCAAACCCTCCCAAACACACAATAAATCCCCCAGGTTATATTCTTTTTTTATGTCATAAAAGGATCTTGTGACCCAGAAAGGCACCACATGGTATTTTCAGATCTGCTTAGATTTCTGACTTCCATTGCAGAGGCCTGAAACCACTTTAGGGTACTTTGTGTCACTAGGCTCTTTTATATTTGAGCTCTTGGTCTTAACCATGAGATGCTTGCAGTGAAGAGGTCCTATTGTAGTGCACAGAAGAACTTGATTATTTAGTGATGATTACACTAAGGCCCAATTTTGCCTGTGATGCAAGATGTGGGAGTGCATAAACCATGCTGAGGAACAATGACATTTATTCTTATTTCATAGCATGTATCATCTGCTTGATGCTAAATTCGATTTATGACATTAAAATGTTTGAGCTGTCCTTTTGCTGCAATTAGGTGCAATGTGTACCTGCCACATTGCGGTTTTCCTTTAAATAGAAACAACTTTGGTTTGTGGGAAACGGTTTCCAAGAGAAAAACATTCTCTATAGAGATAAGGACAAGGTTAGCTATGCTACTTGTGGGTTAATGAAATGTTGTGGTCTTAACAGATGCAGTGGAGCTATGAGTCTGAGTAGGGCTCCCAGCTCTCTGTTGCAGTGGTAAGTTCACATGCCATCTGCAATCCTTCTTCTTGGAACTGGTAAAGTACTCAAATTCTTTTTTTTACTAGAAAGCCATTTTAGTGCACTTGACATTACATTGTGAATATCCTCAAAATTTAGGGAATGAACATGTAGTTAGAAATTATTACAAGGTATCAAAAAACATTACTGGAAATTCATTGCATGAATGTCCTCTGCACACAGTCAAAAGCTAAGAGGTTTAATTTGATGCTTCAACTTGAGTATCAGGACATAAGCATGAAAAAACTTTTGCCTTTACTTTTGAAAAAGTCTGTATGTATTGATGCAGAAGAGTCTTACAGGTAGCCTGTGTTCCCCTTAGTCTTATTGTATTTGGACACTTCAGCTGTAGCGTTGGTTACTGTCTCAACATTACTTATTATTGGGACTGATTTTCAACCAGTCTGAAAAATAGCTTTGCCAATAGAGATGCTCTAAAATTTTTAGCGACAGTTAATGTGGCCTTCACGTATGAAGGTTATACATACTCTGGCTCTTAACCTTCTATCAATGCATGTAGTATAACAGTCAACAGTTTGCTTGTGTGCGGTCTGAAAATTGAAGTGCCACATTTAAGAATACAGTAGTCTGCCATTTAAATAATGCAGGGTTTTGTTGTTATTTTTTAACCATCCACATCACTGGCTCTGAAATATGTTTAGCTAAATTGGTAAAGAAAATGTTCAGTGAATACATAATAATGCCATGAAGTTACAAACAGATCAGTTGTGCAACAGAGAGTCAGTTCTCTCTGCTGAACTCAAATGTCATGTGCATTAAAATACTGTCAGGCTTGCTTTTCTTCTCAAGAAAGATTAGGGAGTTGAGATCTTACTGGTGATACTTGGATACAAGTATTGTGAGCTCCATTGGAGCTAAGCACAATATAAGTTATGTTATTCTGAATGCTTTCTGTGGTGTTAATTTATACCTGAAAATACAGGTTCAATCTAAACTTAATGGGTGCTACTGAGAATCTCCTCAATGACCTGAGCAGTCATAATCCTGTGCTCCTTAATTCAAGAGAATGCCAGGATTTTTGAGTTACTGCAGATGAAGAGCAATTTCTTATCTTTTAATGACTGAACCTCTCTGTTGGCATTTAAGGTTTTGCCATTCTTAAAGACTAGATAGCATTCATGGACTAAGAGGCTGATCTTTGAGCCCTGTAATAGGTTCTGCTAGATCTACTGTTGGTGAGTTTTTCCTTTAAACAATTTCAAATTTGACCATGCAAATTAACTCTGAATGAAATTGGCATGATAACAAGTCTGAGAATCAATATTTCTTTCTGTATAAACACTGTTTTTGGAAGAAAGAACAGGTTTTTAAAAATTGAAATATAGTGGAAAAATATTGGCATTTCACCATTATTGTGCTTTCTACAACTCAGAAAAATCTGAATTGAAATAAGGGTGACTCATGTTTTAGGCTTCCAGAAGAATCTGTTGAAAAGTTTGAGTTTTAATGTTGAAAAGATGTTGCATCTCACTTTGTTAAAAAAAAGGAAAAAAATAATGGTTTTTAATATGCAGAAATCCAAAGGGGGGAGTACAGTATGTGCGAGGGACTCTCAGCAAGGTTATTTCCTCCTAAGAACTGTGCATAGACCTTGGAAAAAACATCTTGCAAGGGTGTGGTGGGTTGACCTTGGCTGGACAGCAGGTGCCCACCAAGCCGCTCTACCACTCCCCTTCCCAAGTGGACAGGGGAGAGAGAATAAGATGGAAAACAACTCATAAAGATAAGGCAGTTTACTAAAGCAAAAGTTTGCATGCACACAAGCAAAGAGAAAAAAAAGGTTTATTCTCTACTTCCCATCAGTAAGCTATGTTTAGCCACTTCCCAGGAAGCAGGGCTTCAGCACGTGTAGCAGTTGCTCCAGAAGGCAAACAACGTAAATAACAAATGCCCCCTCTTCCTCCTCCTTTCCTTAGTTTTTATATCTGAGCTGACATCATATGGTATGGAATATCCCTTTGGTTAGTTTGGGTCAACTGGCCTGGTTGTGTCCCCTTCCAGGATCTTGCCCACCCCCAGCCTAATGATGGGAGGGTGAATGTTGAGAAACAGTGCTGATGCTTTGCCAGCGCTGCTCAGCAGTAGCCAAAACACTGGTGTGTTAGCAACCCATTTCTAGCTACCAATGCAAAGCACAACACTGTTAGGGTTGCTATGGGGAAATGAACTCCATCTCAGCCACACCCAATACAAAGGGATGAATTTGGTTCAAATATCTCAGAATGATGCCAATATAATAACAGGGGAAAAACTCTGTTAAACAGGATTTTCAGTAAGATACTCATTTGGAAATGTCAGTAAGCATAACGTTGTGGGGGAATATACCATTGCTAGTTAGAATGAAGATGCAGCATATCTTCTTAAATTGTTATGTTGTCAGACTTCCTAAATTAAAGAAATTTAAATTTGGTTATTATTTAGATGATACTTAATAGATTACATAAAGAGACAGCGTTGGGGCATTTCTGAAGTGCTTTTTGTAGGAGGTATTGTTTTGAAAATAAGATATGAATCTTGGCTTCTGACCCCTTTTGTGATTGCAAATTTCTTCACCTTTAACCTTGGCATAATTTCAAAGAACTATGGAATCGTAAGTTTACAGATAGCAAAGAAACCAGTTAGATAAATGCTAACATTTTTAGTATAATAAAAATGTGGGTTTAGGCTGGATTTTTTTTTTTTTACCCTGAAAGGCACCAATAAAGAAAAGATTGAATAAGGCTTGTTATAAGAACTGTAAGGGAAGCATTTGAAACATTGATTTACTGCTACTGTAAATTGTAGATATACTATGAATTATGCCTTTTAAAGATAGCATTGCAGGGTAATATACACTTCAATACCTAGTTTCCTCAGTTTACAAAACAATTTTGTCAACTTTGATCATGCTAGAGGATCCCACA